ATAAATTACAGTAAATGTATTTTTTCTTTTTTCTTTCACAATCTTACATATTTTTATCTTAACTAACTTATATACTATTTAATGTTTTTTAAGTATTTAATTTTCTCTTGGACATTTTTATTTTACTTTAATATGACATATCTTTAGTTGTATTAATCTATTTTTTATTCCTATTTTATATTTTAACCACCGACTTCTTCTCCGGCCGCCCCCCCTAAAAAATGGAGCAATGAAACTCAAATCCTCCCCAGATTAATAATACATACTCAGTCACTGTAAACCAGCACACAACACACACAACACACGCCACACGCACTCACGCACACACACACGCACACACACACACACACACCACACACCACACACACACACACACACACACACACACACACACACACCACACACACAGCACACACACAACACACAATTCTACTAAAATGCTGTGACCTTTTGTTATGGTAATTCAGTGAAAACTAAAAAAAATACTATAAGAAATCGGACTCCCCGCACACACTCAAACACACAACCCTACACTCTCCTCCTCCCCAGGATGTGCCTCACCTGGCTGCTCGCTCCAAAATGTGCGGGTGCCCCCAACCCCTCCGGGCCTCCTCCCCCAGCCGGTCTGAGGGAGGGAAGACGCTCCTCGCCCCCGCCCAATCGTCCGCACGACCACGTTCCATTGGGGCTGCTGGGCATGCTGCTGGAGCAGACTGGGGAGACAGCGGCTGCGGTGAAGAGACAGGGGTGGGCCGCAGGCTGGGTGGGGCCCTGCTGGGGGGGCGGGGCTGCAGGTGGGGGCCAGTAACAGAGGAGCCCGTGCTGCTGCTGCTGCTGCTGCTGCTTGGTACTGACTTGACGTTCCGCGTTGTTGTCGGCTGTTGGAGCGCAGGAAGGACCGCGCGCCGATAAGCGACGAGGGCGAGAGGGTCGTTCCCCCCCAGAGGACTGACCGCGGCGCCGCTTATGAGTAAGGAGGGAGCCTCGCGGAAAGGCACTGCAGAGGAACGAGAAGAAGAGAGGGGGATTAAAGTTTCATCTTCTAGAATAGGGGTACTGTCAAAAGATACATTTTACCCCACACACTCAGACACTATACGTATTTTTATATATATCTGTTTTTGTATTTTGGGATTATGGAACACGGTATTTTGATCTCTCTGTCTGTACACACAAACTGAAAGATTGACAATAAAGTTGACTTTGACTTTGAGAGGGGAATTCAAGTTTATTTAATCTCCTAGAACAGGGGTCTGCAACCTTTACTACTATCAAAAGAGCCATTTTGACCCCTTTGTCGCTGAAAGGCACTGCAGAGGAACGAGAAAAGAGAGGGGGATTAAAGTTTATTTAATCTCCAGGAACAGGGGTCTGAAACCCTGACGCCCTCATCCACCTGATTTAAAGTTTCACACTGTTCACTGAGTTTGGTGGGTTTTTTAAACATTATTCTTTATTCAGTATCGTATGGACTGGTAAAGGGGCTTTACTTATACAGCGCTTCATCCAGTCTTTACGACCCCTCAAAACTCTTTACATAGTACGAGTCATTCATCCATTCACACCTCATTCATACAGAGCAGTACCACTTGCTCTAGGAACGAGCTAACATTCACACATGCTCACACACACACGCTCACACACACACGCTCACACACACACGCTCACACACACACACATCGTTGGCCATCAGGAGCAACTCAGGGTTCAGTATCTTCCCCAAGGATACATCGACACATCGACATGTTGAAGGCACTACAGGCTGGGATCAAACCAACAACCTTTTGGTTCAAAGACGACCGCACTCCCTCGCAGCCACAGTCCGGTACCAACACCACACACACGCACACACCATGACATTAGGCGCGTTCACACCGCAGTACTTTTCCCAACTAAAATGAGTTCATGAGAACCTTTTTACCCCCTTTTCCGTCCCTGCTAGAGAGCAGGGACTTCCGTGGGAGAAAAAGGTTCCTGTGTCTGATTGGCTGGGCGGAATGCAAACCACGCCCCGTCAAACTCCCAAAAACGTTTGTGAAGCCGCCATTTTATTATCATGATTAGCATTAGTATTAGCCCAGCGCAGAAACGCAGAGAGACTAACTTATGGCAACACAAAATAAAACATGGGAGCGGTGGAGATGAGGAGGTGTCGGCGTTCTGGCCGTTTACTCTGAAGCCAGTCCCTAACTCCGGGGACTTCGGCCGGGGACTCCGGGTGGCAGTATACGCCGTGAAGTTGTTTGCGGCCTGCCACTAAACCCAAAGCAGAGAAGAAGAAGAAGTGACGTCAGCGGCTCCCTCAGGCACTTATTCCAGTTTGAACATTTATTACGATTTACTAGATAGTTCCGGGGGAAAGTTCCGTGAACTATTCCTGGGAAAAGTACTTGGTGTGAAAGCGCCTCTTGTATTGCCTTTCAATGACACGGGTACATTTGAAGGAGGTCGCTTATCATTTCAATGTTATTGCACAGATGATTGTATGTTTTTCTTTATATAGACATAAAAACAAACTCTTCCAAGACCCGGCTTCGTCTTGTTTCTTCAAATACAAGATGAATGCATGATACCTCTACTATGTATGGTTTAACAAATATTTGTAATGGATTCAGCAGAGTTTCAGTTGATATTAAATAGTTCAGTATAAACCATGGTTTCATTAAGGCTGTTTTTGTTATGTTTTTGGTATTGCATTTGTTCCTCATGGACTCAATGTCAAATGTTTCTCTTCTCCTTGTTTGTCTTTCTAGGAAAGAACAGATAGCAGATCAGAGAGAGTATAAGAAGAAAAAAGCCCAGAAAAAGGTTCTGAGGATGAAGGAATTGGAGACAGAGAGGGAGGAACAAAAGTCAAAGTGGCAGAATTTCAACAACAAAGCCTACTCAAAGAACAAGAAAGGACAGGTTTGTTTTTTTCTTCGTCAGATATCTTTATTTGAGTGCTGGGAAATCCATGGTGCACTGATAAAACACAGTGGGTGAGGTTGTAGTGTACCAGTCTCCTATCTTTTGCTTTCTAGCAAGACATTAAGAACTTTAGTTCAAACAATCAAAGAAGAGTAAAAGTGTACATTCATAAAGTTTCATAGATTTCTTTAAATAAATATTTATAATTAATACCACATTTTGTCCATCACTCTGCATTGCATACTGCACCGTTGTACAGTACTGGAGGGCTAGAAACTTGAAACTAATTTTAACACTGTCCATGAATGGCTGAGAGGATTGTAAATGTATATAGTAATAATGGACACTAAGCCATTTATATATTTAATAATTAACATTGTCAATTTTTGTTTTTTCTAGGTCAAGCGAAGCATATTTGCATCTCCAGAAAGCGTCTCTGGAAAGGTGGGAGTTGGAACATGTGGTATTGCAGACAAGCCAATGACACAGTACAGTGACACAGCAAAATATAATGTTAGACATCTAATGCCACAATGACCTGATATATTCTGTATATACTGATCCACTGTATACTTCCTGTATCAGTGCTTTCCATTGTGTTTATACAAGTCTCATTTCCCAGGTAAAGAAAGCTTTGAAAGGAATTGCTTGCACACCATGTTTGAAATATTGATGTAGTTTTCTTATATATTACAAAGTACAACAGAAAAATCCCAGATTTTCACAGCACTGGAACAAAGTCCCCTGTTGTGTAAGAACAGGAAGTGGTGTTTTAGATCAACCTTGTAGTTTGTTGTTTGTGTTCAGGTTCCACTGAGGCCAAATACCTGCTAAAACGAGAATAAATATACACCTGCAGATTTGTTTTGTTGTACATTTGAAGCTGTATTTTGAACACTGACCCATTGTGGGGTGGGGGTATACACTTCAATAATGATGTTGATTTGACATCTCTGAATTTACGTTTTTAATTTCTCTGTATATAACAGTCCAATAAACATTGTTTTGTTTTCAGTTTTTTTTAAATAACGGCTTCCACGTCATTTACCTCAATTTTAAAATGATATATTTATTGTGGCTCTGTCGGGTCCTGTAGGTGGCAGTAAAGACACGCACCATTATTAATGACATGGGAAGCATGTTGCAGCTGTTTATTCAACCACTCTTCCCATTTATGTCACGTGTTCTTTTTTGTTAGTTCAGGGGGCTTTATTGAGAGCATTTATTACAGACTTGTCTAATTGTATACGTGACTTATCTAATGATGATTTGAGCATTTATGGTAGGCTTACCAATAAAAGAAAAGACAACACAGATTTATGTCTGGGTGGTAGAGGTTTATTACGATTCCAGGGACAGTATTCAGGGTCTGTAACATCGTACTAGCAGGGGACCAGCAGCATGTTTTGCAAAAAGTCACCTTGGATGGCTGATTAAACACGGGAGAAAACATTCTGGGATGTGCTTTGACATATCCTTAACAACAGTCTTTTTCATAGTGCATTTGATAGTTTCCCAAACTGGTTGGGGAGGAAAAAGACCTGGAACAAGGAACTTTGTGCAATACCCATGTTAAGACACAATTTGGTGGTGATCTCCTTAGGACTTGGACCAAAACAAATGCAGATAAATGGTCATATTGAAATGCCTTATTTGGTTTCATGGATTCTAACAGGTCAGCAGTGCAATAGTATGTCAAATAGACATTGACTTATTAATGTGAAATCTCCAAATGTTAAGTATGTGATCGTTTTCTGCTAGAATACAAAAAAAGGAACGGTATTAAACATTGAAGTATGAACCAAAATTAGTGTCCTGTAGTGTTTGTAGTTCATGCTACAGATATTTGTAAAGACTTGTCAAACCAAAGCACATAACATGATTAGACAAGCTACATTCAATACACATGCCCCATAGCTTTTTTAAATCAATTACAATCATTTTTACTGCTGAATATTAAAACTGATACTACTGGAGTCAGTGAAAAACAAGCAAACTGCAATTTGGTGTTGGACGGACAGAGTGTGCTAATCACAGCCAACATTTAATATATGATGAAAATATATGCTTTAAGCCTTGTGCTTGGACAATTGTGGGATAGCTTATTTCTGTCTAAATACAAGAGAATTTGTGCAAAGTGTAAAAGAAGACAAAACCTTGAGCAATGCATTTAACCTTTAGCACTGCGTTTGCTTCTGTAGGGGTTAATCATTTACGTCATGTAATTTGGTAAACATAAAAAAAAAAAAAAAAGACATTAAACATTCAAGCAACACCAAGACTTAGCTAAAGTCAAATTTAAATATACCAAAAATAAATACTATAATCATACTATAATGTAAAAATAAATTAGAATAACAAAAGTGGACTACACCACCAGTTTGAATACGACTGCATTTCAGTCAAAAAAGGGGGACGCCACATGGATCAGTGGTGGTTGTGGCTCCTAAAGCAGAGGTTATAGTAGTGTTATAAACATTTTGGAATGCAGACATCGTAGCCCCTGCCACTGGCTTGTACACTGACAAGAAGTTCTGTCTGGATATATTATCCTTACAATAGGGGCAATGTTTTTACAAGGCAAATGGAGCAAATGTTCCCAATGGTGAACTTCTAGCTGGTATTGGGGTTTTAGTTTTTTTGCTGGTTTGAGAGGGTCATCTTGGCTAAAGGTAGAGCTTCCTCTTCAGTGGTGGACACTGGTACGGGTAATGGGTCGTGCAGGTATGGTTCATTTGAAGCTGGTAATTGGTTAAGGGACATTCAGGCGAGGGGCCAGTCTTAAACTAAGGATACTGTATTATAAGCTTACGAAATTACATTTGAGGCGATTGTGTTAAATGTTTCAGACAGATGTAGAAGAGCACCTCTAACAGGTATTTTGGAAGGAGACGTTTTCAGCGTTTAGACTGAGTTGACCTTAAGGCTGGTTCATTGGGTGTAGATGTTGGATTTGTCAGGTATAAGTGGGATTGAGACGGGTTGTTCTTCTGATGACAGCTAACCTAAACTGCAGAAAAGTGTGGAGCTTTTGGCTGGTACTTTGAAAGGTGAAAGCCATAAAAGACTGCAGCTGATGTGAACATATAGGCTGGTGCTTTAAGCAGAGAAAGCCAGTTTTAGACTGCAGGTGGAGTAGCCCTCGTCACTGGCCGTGCTCTGCCGGCTGCTGTGGTCATCCAGGTCGCTCGCCCCACTGGTGCTCACACTGTCCATTTCTCCATGGGAGAACTCAGTGCTTTCAACATCAACTTCAATTTCTTCTGCAGAAAAAAAAGAACAGATTAATTTTCTGAATCATGCAAGGACACATATTTGTAATTGAGTGAATATGGTGACAAACCATAATTATATTCTAAAGTAGGGATGCACAAACATTATATTTATGCCCATTAGGAGTCATATTGAGGTCAGGATTATTTATTTTTTGATTATTAATTGGTTTTAGTGCCAAAATATTTGTATTGCACTTTCACATTAAGATCACTGCCTTCCCTTCCATGTTGTTCTCCATTCCTGCAAATCCTCCAATACAAATTAAGGCTGCATTATTTAGAGAAAAACTAACATTATTACTTTCTCTGCAATATTCTTTGCTATATGGAAAAAATATATATTAGCCCTAAATATTTTAGGTTACAGTAGAGGCCATCGAATACACTTAACTGTCATATAAAATGCATATTTAAAATAGATGAATTGTGCTGTCCTAGATTACAAAGCTTGCCCCTGGGTAACCAATCTTAATCAGAAACTAACCTCTGTCAGACTCTGAGCGGTCAAAGTCCATGCGGGAGCCCAGGCTGTCTTTACGGACCCTCTCCCAGTCTCCATGAGGCTGAAGCTGGGAGAGTTGCCTCTGCAGGTGCCTCTGCTCCCTCTCCAAGTTCTCCAGCTGGTGCAAACTCCTCCGGTCTGTCTCTTCAAGTTTCTGAAGAAAAAGGAAAATGCAAAACAGTTAATGATTTCGTTTTGATGTAAAGGTAATCAGAACCAACCTGGCACATTTAGTGTTTACATTCATTACTTAGCAATTCAATCAAACCGTGATGGACGCACTTCTCTAGATGTTCCTTATAATTAATATACTATATGCATGAGAGGATGGTGAACTCGTCTCGGGTGCAGTGATGTGACGTTAATATTTAGTTGTAGCTACCATCAAATGTGACGCCCCCCTGTGCCTTCTAATGAAATATTTAACGCATAAGGACAGCACGTTGCTCGGTGGATTCTAGATGAGTAGATGGTGTGTCCATTGGATTCAAGTTAAATATGACGATAGAATCAGTGTGTTATTTAATAGCAATTCTAAATAAAGCCTGTATAAATGCCTCAAACGACAATCACAAATGGCACACTTAACTATGTGTGAAAAGTTAATATAAAACCAAAGCCCTGAAGGTGAACTTTGAACCTCAGTCATTTAATCATTTCATCCCAATCATCACATCTTATAATGTATTTCCGCTGCAGTAGCATATTAATAATTACTCAAATTATGTATGCAATATTTACTGCTGTAGGAAAAACATTTTTAAGGCCACTGTTCTGCTGATTATTCCAAAAAGAAGCAACAACATCCTGTATTAGGCCTTTTAATTGGTTAAGAGTGTGCCTTAGAGCTTTGTGGAGATTTCTCAACTTTGATACATTTAACAAAATAAGACATACTGTGTTATAGTTTTGCACAGTAACGTGCTGTATTGTATGAGTTTCCAGGCATGGTTAATTTTTCTACTTGATTCTCCAAAGGACTGTTGCATAAGGATTATATTTGCTTGAAGGCATAGCGTAAAAAGGATAGTACGTTTCCCACAACTTAACTTCCTTGTAAGAAAATGCTGTCTGCACCTTTTCTACCCTTTTACTGTCCTACACATCCTCTGGTTCCAAACATAAAACACAGCAGCTTTCAGGGACCACATTTCTTGGACTTCAAACAGGCAGGTCCAAAGTCAACAGTTGACAATATATAGTAGGTACTCAATCCATTTCCCCTGCTGTAATAAAATCACAGATTTTTGTGAGGATTGCATTCATATTGTAGCCCACAGTCATCCCTACTGTATCCCATTACTGGAGTCTGCCCAGACATAGCTTGAGAAAATCAGATTTTTCCCCAAAAATATCTGATCTGGCTTAGACTGCATCCACCAGGGGGTCAAAGTGTTGAGTCTTGGATGCTTTAATGCCACAGAATCATATTTGCAGTTCAGACATACTCCTAGGGCCACCTAGGGTGAGAGCTACTGTAAGAGACTAACATAGAATTTTGTTGTAAAAATAAAAACAGGATCAGTATATTGACTGGTCAGCCTTTTGTAAACCATCACTATGGATTAGATTGGGTCCCAGATAAAAATCGAATGGGTGCTAGGTCAAAGTCATCTTCTGTTGTACCTCTGATCTATATTTGCTGTCAATATGACATCAAACATTGTTTTACTCAAGGGAACAGCTAGATATCTCTTAATTCAATATATGTGAGTGAAAGGTGTGAGCGTAAAAATCTATTATGTTAGAATAGATGATGGCATTTTGAGTCACAAAAGAAAAAGCAAAGAAATAAATTGGCTCAATTCAATTTAGCTGCTTTAGTCTCTTGTTGAATTCAGCCTCAGGACTTTTAGGTTGCTACTCATACTTTCCCTAACTGGTATTACCAACCATTACCATGTGGGTGAAATAGTGGAAGCAGTATTTAAATATGTTTAAGTCATTACCTTTGAGCACAGAAATTGACAGAATGTAGCCCTTTATCCGATGATGGTAGCATGGGCACCTCACCTTGATGTGTACTTGGGCCTTGTTAAGCAGTCCTAGTGTGGTGTGCCGACTGCAGTCTGGCCCCAGAGGGATGAGGGACTTCAACCTCTCCAAACACAGGCGGAGATGTGCTCGTCTGTTGGGGGAGACAATCAAGACGGGTCATTTCTCTTAACAGACAGCGTGCATGGAGTAATATGCATTGTGAAGCAATTATGCAGACAGCGAGATGAATTTCCAGACTAATATATTA